ATCAATTAACTTATGATTTGTGTTAATACTAATTGAACCCGCATATTTGAAATTAAAACTTCGAAAACAATTTACATTGGGGCCTCCCAAAGATAGTTGCCAAGGGCACCCCGAGTCCTAAATCCGGCACTGCACCTACCTGCACTCACCGTTTAGCTGCTCGATCGTCTAACTCTTCACTGAAATGAACTTGGTAGCCCTGAAAAGGGCCGTTTTGTTACGTTGGTGATAAGTTGTAACCTCCGAAACCGTACAGAGTGCGTCCCTGTCGCTTCAGAGCGTAGACGACATCCATGGCCGTGACGGTTTTGCGCTTAGCGTGTTCAGTGTAGGTGACGGCATCACGCATATTTTCTAGGAACAACTTCAGCACATCTCGGGTTTCTTCGAAGATCAGACCGGAGACGCTTGACACAACCACGTCGAGCCAGACGACGGATGGCAGGTTTGGGAACACCCTGGATGTTTTCATGCAGAACCTTCCGATGACGCTTGGCGCCTCCTTTTCCAAGCCTTTGCTGCCCTTTGCTTACTTGATGCTTTTTTTGTCGTCGAACGGGTGAATCGAAACTAAGTCTAAAGCGTAGATAGCAACCTCTGATATAGACAACCAGCTCTGCCGGTACCATATCTTCTCGCTTCCCATTGGCTATATAATGTAGCCAATGGGAAGCGAGAAAATATGGTACCGGCAGAGCTGGTTGTCTACACGCCAAGCGCAAAACCGTCACGACCATGGATGTCGTCTACGCTCTGAAGCGACAGGGACGCAATCTGTACGGTTTCGGAGGTTAAAACTTATCACCAATGTAACAAAACGGCCCTTTTCAGGGCTACCAAGTTCATTTCAGAAAAGAGTTAGAATAGAATTTATATAGAGTATCTCCTGCTTCCAAGTTTGGTTACAAGATTACAACTCTAGAGAGCAGCGGCGCCAGTGGTGTAGTGGTAAGCGTCCCAGCAGGCCTAGGTTCAATCCCAGTCAACGCTGCCGGGAAGTTCTGAGGCATAACATCTCTGATCACGCCTTCCTTCGGGGTGCCCGGTTCATGGGTGGTCGATAGGTAGGGTCCAGGTGTGGGCATGCACAGTTGTACATACCAACTGCTCATTTGGTAATAACTTTTCACTCAGATGTTGAAATTTATTTTTCTTTTAAGTAATTGATAGATTAGGCTATAGATATGCGAAGATTAGGTAAAGCTTAACATTTGAATCGACACTAATCAATTTAACACTTAAATTCCGAGATGTGTAGTGAGCATTTCTCACCTCATTTTTACAACGCAAAAACAAATACAGTTTACTACTAGCATTAAAATCTACTTTATTTTACATATCTATAACAAGCTTACACTCTATTCTATCTACTGCTTCAAAAAGAACTATGTTCCGTTAACTGTGTGCAAAGTTATTAGCAAATGAGCAGTTCGTGACCAAAACTGTGTATGCCAAGCATGGGTGTGGGTAGCATTGGTGCATGTAAAAAAATCCAAGGAAAAAAACAGCAGGCTTGTGGTTCTGAATTGGCAACAAAATGTTCCGCAATTGTATCCTCCATATTCGTACACGCCCGAAGATCGGAGGCGAATGTCACTTCGACTTGTTGCATCTAGGAACCATTATCTGATGACTGTGTTGGGGAAGCAGCACATGCATGTACGTAATTGGTGGATTTGTTAGTCATTTAGAACCTTTTGGACAATGCTTGACATTTACCACTTTTTCAATAGTTTCATTTTGAAAATCAACAGTCAAGAGCATTGTTATCGATGCGTTGAAATGTTTCTGATCGATTGGTGATAAAATAATTGAAATTAGTCCAGGGACAGCTAAGTTATTAACGTTCAAAATCTTTCATAATTTCATTTTTCGCTTTTCATAAATTGTACCCCCATCTTCCCGAAAAACGTAGTCCTACGTAAAAAAAAAAACAAGTTGAAACATGTTGAATTTAAGATAACATCCACAAGTACAGGTACTTAATAAAGCATAGGTTTTAATTAATAATAGGTAGATTAGAGATTTCAATTATTTATTAAATTAGGCTAATGAGATATCATAATCATCAAACGAACTTAAATAAGAAAATTTAGACAGCCTAATAACATTAAGTAGATTAACAGAAGAGTTAGGATGCGGGGGTCCGCTTAGGGAGGCAACTAGCTTTTAAAGTAACTGGCAACTAGTCTTTTAATATATTGTCTGTTTATTTTGATGATTGTTTTAAAATATCAATTTAGTATGTATGTGAAAGTATGAATCAGTGGGAGATGGATTTTCGGATTCTTTACATTTTGCAGCACAAATCTAGTACTATGTGTCAAATCCTCAAAACCCCCCAATAACCGACCTCTTAAATCCCTTCCTTTTCCCATGGCGGCAAGTGGTCCGCATAGACATAGACAGCCATTACCCTTCCTTTATCCTCGGCATTGGATTGATTTTCGTTCTCATTGCGCCCAAACGCTGCAAAATGAAAATGAAAATGAAAGATCTTTTGTTAAGTTCCTACAATTGATATAGAGTAAATGGGATTTCACGGAACATCTCTAACTTTTCACAACCGAAGACGATCAAGCTGGAATATCTTGCTTCCGATCTTCAAGTGGCAGATATCTTTACGAAATCAGTAGCCTAGTTTCAAACAAAATTAAGGCAGGAACCCGAGCAAAGCTGAAGATCAAATTGAAATCAAAATTTGCTGTTATGATGTAACTTATTTTGAATACTCCAGTTGACATAACGGTTAACACAGCAAAAATGAGAGCAAAATTTTACACTGTTGAAGCAAACGGAAAACTAATCCTGCTTTCAATGAAATCAATTTGATTACTGATTTTGCATTCATAATGTTTAACTGAATACGGGCCTGGAGTAAATGGTTACCATTCATGTTTCTCAAGCTGAAAGACTTGGGCTCCAATCTCACCCCGGGCAAGTCACGAATGACCTAAAATGTGTCAAACAAATCAAATAAACAATAATCATTAGTTCAACGACAGATGAATTTCAATTAAATTTTTAACAAGACGTAAACAGCACAACTTCAAGTTAAGTTGCTTTCATTTAAAAAGTCTTGACTGCATAATGAAAGCACAATATGATATCAGACTTATGTCGTAACATATGAAATCAAAATGAGTTTTCATTATGATAGGAACTGCACACTTTAATATCGATTTGCTTTCATTTTGTTAACCGACTTTGCTCGGGAAGCTACTCCATGAGCCATAATTTCAAAAAAGCACACATTCAATGATATCTTAAAGACTATACAACACACAAAACAATTCCCCATAATCATTTACGCTTTCATTGGCTTGAAAGAATTATCCCATCCCGTATAAAAATAATACATTCAGCACTCTTAACTCCACGCTAATCCCCCGCTCGTCTGTCGGGAACAAACCTACTTGAAATAAATGCGGTATATGTCTTTCCCCGGGAAAATTACGCAATTTATGTTAATTTCATTTCAAAGTTTCCATCTTAAAAAATGAGTAATCTCCTCACTTTTTCTCCTCTTCCATCACAAAACCTGCTTGAGTGTGGCGTGTGGGAGCTTTGCTAAATGGAACAAAATTTGTTTTGCCAAAAGAAACTGGAGATCGAGCGAAAGCGAGACGGCTAAGGTGCGTCAGCTCTGTCTGATGGGTAATGTAGCTACCAATACTACAACTGCACCATTTTCGGATGGGATCCATACATAAAAATAGAAGTAAAATATGAACAAACTGCTGGGAGTGTGCGGGGGAGCGACGAAATGAGAAACCGAACCCCGTGATGCTCATTTATTCAAATTCACGTACCCGCGAAAGCTGCTCCATTATAATTTCTAAAACCACTCTCATTTGCGAGCGTGGAAAAGAGGAAGAGGAAATGGCGTCCACGGTTGGGATGAGTTGTTTTGGGGAAAGTAGACAAAGCGGATCGAGGGGTGGTGGTGGAGGTGGTAGACGAAAATGAGTGCATTCAATCCAGGGTTCGGGAAAAAGAGGGGGCATTGGATTCCTATTTTGACGTGAACAGCATATTTTTCGTGGGTGCTAAAATGTCGGATTTACGCTTTCCAGAGCGACGAAGAGCAGCACATAGATTTTAGAAGAGAGATTCTCGCGTAACATTTGAAAAGGGCCTATCATCGTTGATCGGTTCTCTTCATCGACTTTCTCTTTGGCTTACCACGGCAACATAAACGAATTTCTCGCTAAGCTGGCAGCACAGTTCGACAGAAGATGATGTAGGCTTACGCCTGAAGCAACACACTGAATGGGAAATTCATTTCCAGTTGGGTTATTCGCGAAAGAGAAAATCGATCAACAATGAAAGGCCCTTTTCTCGTGTTGCGCGAGAGATAACATTTAGCATAATGAGTGATGGTGACGAAGGCGCCGTCGTTGATCGAATATTTTACCACGCATTGGGGGGAGGGAAAAGTTTTGCTCGAGCACAGCCAGAAAGGAAAGTTTGGGTTAATGTGCATTTTAGATAAAGCATTCTGGTAAAGCCCGGTGGATTTGATGGTTGAAAAGTGGATGGTTTTGAATGAAGCGATTGCTTCGTGGAGTTGTGGGCGGTTACCGATACCGTTCTTGCTCAAATGCTGATGAAATTATTCCGAAGGATCATATTTTCGCAATTATTAAATTCAAGCTGCGTGCCTTCAACTTTCCATCGAAGAAAGGACACTTAAGTTGTTCTATTTTGAAAATTCTGGACGCTATGAACTCTCTAGGATCCAACGTTTTGATGAGCTTGAAGAGAGTTAACTGGCTCAGTTGACACAAAAAACAGTAGGGATTAACTACTCAATGGTACATTTCGCTTCATATGTATGTAGACATTGGACTACGACAGTGGGGGGTGCTTCTCTTAAACTGAAATGATTCAGTATTGCATTGTCATTGAATAGAAGGGCGCACTGTACTGGATCTGATGGTGTGGTTTTGGATTATTATAAATCGAAATACTTCCGTAATAAATGTTGTAGTACTTACGTATTTAATTCCAAATCTAACCGAAATTTATGATTAAAAGCTTTTATCAAAAGTGATGTTCGATGAAAGTGTTTCCCCGTCTGAAAAAGAGAAGAGAAAAGATAAACAGATATTAAACTTTTGTTAGCACAGCACTTTGCTTTTGTTACAGCGTTCTTTTGTCGACTGGAGCCGTATGAAGCAGTGGATTATAGAGATTTCCATTTTTAATTAGTTATAATTGTTCTTGCACTCGTAACCTACAGTACTGTGTGCTCGTTTTTAGTAACCATCAAGCTAATTTATCACGATAAGCAAAAAATTACTGCACTGGATTATGCAGCTTACCACAGCTGTTCAAATGTTTAACTATTTTTCTCGTAATGTAATTAATCGTGTATCCGCAGGATAAAAAAAAAATAAAGTGAATTCTTTACAAACACTTTACAACCCCTCCTTATTACGCTAGCCCTCTTCAACTCTTCCTGTCGAAGACCACTTGGTTAAAGGATTTTATAATAAAGGCTTTGTTCTGCCTTTCCCTTTTCGTTCTCAAGTTTGGTTTGGCCACTTGAAAATCCCATCACTACCAGCGATTTTTCGTGCCACCGTCGATATCCCGAGCACCGAGGACGACGGAAGCTCAAACCTGTCCGCAACCCTTATCACTTGGTTGAAAAAAAAAAAACGCTCCTTTTCTGAGATTCACTTTTGACGAAGGCCACAACCATCCATTCCGGTTCTTTTCCTTTTCTTTCTGCTCAACAACTTGGTGTCATTCCGTTTGAAACATAGGACAAAAAAATACCAACTGGGATATTGTATAAGCTCATTAAATCGGTGTTGAGGCGTATTAAATCCGTGGCGTCCGGCTGAAGACCACATTGAGTTACCGTTGGAACGGCGAGCGTCCGTTGGAAGTTCAAAAGGAAGTCGAAGAATGTGGGGAGGGGGGAAATTGAGGGTCATAAAAACAAGCTCAAGTCAAATGAATTTCATCGCGATTTGTGTTGGCTGCTGGGAGGATTTGGCTTTGGATAACAAATGGACATCTAGTTTGTCAGCGAGGAGCTCAGGTTTATTTCCCGGTGGATTACTCCGTACTTCAATGAAAGGCTTCATGGAAATATTTATGGTTTTTTCGATGATTCTTTAAACTCAAACATAAATGACAGAACCTTCTAGAAATGTTCTAAACCCTCTCTTACAAAGTTTGCAGAGCTTTCCAAGGAAGTTTCCTGAACCTCACTTAGTTAATGCTGCAAATATACAGAAGTTCCCTGAATTTACAAGCGAAATTTCCCCAGACAGTACCCAGAATTTCCCTAAAAAGTTCACAGAACTTCTCCTATTAAGTCAATGCACTACCCCAACAAAATTATTTGAACTACCCCAAGGAAGTTTTAAAACTATGACTAAGAATTTCCCAGATCATCCATTGGAAAATGTATAAAACTAGTCCTAGAAAGTTTTCGGAACGTTCTCTAGGAAGTTCCCTGAAATTCTTCCGGGTAGTTGCAGGAAGTTCAAAGGACTTTTCGGGCGAGTTCATATGACTTATTGACTTTTCGGAGAAGCCTATCGAACTTCTAGGAGTCCTCTAGAGGACTTTTAGGAGACAATCATAAGAATTCTAAGGATCGTCTCCAGAACTTCTCGGGGAAGTTTATAGAATTTAGTGTAATAATTTATTAGCTAGAGAAAGGTCTGAAGAGAGTAGGTAGATAGTTCCACTAGAGTGTACCGTGGCAGTTTGAAAATTGAATAGAAATTGAAAATTAGCGAAGGGCCATTAATACGACAGTACTAGTCAAACGCACACTTCTTTACCTAACTGATACATATGGATGAGGAGACTTGAAGTATTTCTTCAAGTTTACAGGCAAAAAGGGCTAGTTTAACTTGCTGCGGCTGTGGAATAGTTCTAGCGACGTTTCATCACTACCTAAGAGATCATCTAAGAGAGAAAGCAGTAGGGTGGTTGTTGCGTGCTGTGCCAACATCAGCAGTGTTGACGGTTACTTCCACCTTGAGTTGTTACATTCAAAGTGTTTTTATGTTACTTCAAACGTGAAGTTTACGATTTTTAGAGTTGGTTGGTAATGCTATCTAAAATGAAGCTTTAGTGTGAAAGTTTGAAGGGCTGGTTTTCTAATAAGTTCAAAGGACTTCTAGAGAAATTTCATGGAACTGCTCGGGGAAGCAGATGGCGATTTCAATTCATAGAACTACTTGGGGAAGTGCATATCATTTCTAAAGCAGGTCCATTAGACTGTTGGAGGATATCAACAGGACTTCTAGGAGACGATAAAATGACTTCTCGGGGACATCCATTACACTTATCTAGAGGAGGATATCTAGCGGACCTCCGTAGTACTTCAAAGGGACCTCCGTAGGACTTCTTACTGAAGTCTATTGCATTTATTGGGGAAGTATATAGGACTTCTCGAATGAGTACATTGGATTTATAGGGGAATTTCATAGGATTGCTCTGAAAATCCCATTCGTGGAAACTCTTCTCGTGAAAACTATAGCTCATCTCAGGGAAGTCTATTGAACTACTCGCTGCAGTTCACTGTTGCTCTTTGGTAGGTGGTGTAGGGCCTACATAGGACTTCTAGACTTTGATATTTGGACTTTTCAGGGACCTCCATAATACTTCAAAATTAGATCCATATGACTTCTTGTGGAAGTTGATAACGTATCTAGAGGATTTACATTCTCGGGAAAAATCACAGGACTTATAGGACTTCTAGGAGTAATCTATAGGAATTATTAAGGAAGCCCATATGACTTATAAAAGTCCTCTATATGATAATAATAAGATAAGAAGTACATGGGAAAATTTTCTTAGGTCCAATTTATAGACATAAAGAGGAAATAGATGTAATGTCGGCCTACATGCCCTTAATTTGGGCCCATACATAAATTCAGCAATCGACAAAATTTTCAATAGCGACCAAATATATCCATTAGTACCGTCCCAATGACGCGTTCATCTAGATAAAATTGATAAATAGCAGATTTTTAGCGAAGGGCCCAATCTGCGATCCATAGGCCAACATTAGAGCCATTTCCCCTATTGCACAAATTGCAACAGGAAATTTGAAAATATTCTGCATGAATCAATGATCAATAAAAATAATAAAATGTTCCCTACCGAAGCTATGGAATGATTCTTTGAAAATACTGAAACGATCCATTTAAAATATGAAATGCTCAAATAAAAAAAATCAACTGTTCCATAGATTTCAGCAATTTTTATGAAACATATCATCTCTTTTATTGGCACATTTAAAAAAAATATTTGTCGCATTACATACTTTCCTTACACCGTAGATTTACTATCCTGCCTGTGTTTTTAGTAAGAGGAGCGGAGGGACGGGCAAAGGTCCAAAACAACCTTCTAAAATAACCTTCCAAAAGAACCTCCCAAAATAATCTTCTGAAGAACCATCCAAATGAATCTTCAATAGGATTTATCCCACAGAACCTTCCAAAACATCCTTGCAAAAAAAACCTTCTTAAAGAACCTTCCAACAATACCTTCTTAAAGAACCTTCCAACAGAACCTTTCAAATCACCCTTAAAAAACAACCTGCCAAAAGAACCTTCCAAAATAACATTCCGAATGAACCTTCCAAAAAAAAATCTTCTTTAATAATCTAAAAGAACCTTTCAAAAGAACCTTAAAAAAGATGCTTTCAAACGAGCCTTTTAAAAAGAACCTTCAAAAATCTCCTTCCAAAAGAACCTTCCTAAAGAACCTTCCAAAATAAAATTTCAAAGTAAAAAACAGCATTCCAAAAGAACATTTCAAAACATCCTTAAAAACAACCTGCCAAAGGAACCTTCCAAAATAATCTTCCAAAAGAACCTTCCAAAATAACCTTCCAAAAAATCCTTCCAGAAGAACCTTCCAAAAAAATCGTCCTTAGTAATCTAAAAGAACCTTTCGAAAGAACCTTCCAAAACATTCTTCCAAAAGAACCTTCCAAAAGAATCTTCCAAAACATCCTTCCAAAAGAACCTTCCAAAAGAATCTTCCAAAAGAACCTTCCAAAATAATATTTCAACAGAATCTTCCAAAAGAACTTCCCAAAGAACCTTCCAATAGAACCTTCCTAAAGAACCTTCCAAAAGAACCTTCTAAAACAACCTTTCAAAAGAACCTTCCAAAACAACCTTCTAAAATAAAATTCAAAAGTGAAAAACAGCATTCCAAAAGAACCTTCCAAAAAAATCGTCCTTAGTAAGCTAAAAGAACCTTTCGAAAGAACCTTCCAAAACATCCTTCCAAAAGAACCTTCCAAAAGAATCTTCCAAAACATCCTTCCAAAAGAACCTTCCAAAAGAATCTTCTAAAAGAACCTTCCAAAATAATATTTCAACAGAATCTTCCAAAAGAACTTCCCAAAGAACCTTCCAATAGAACCTTCCTAAAGAACCTTCCAAAAGAACCTTCTAAAACAACCTTTCAAAAGAACCTTCCAAAACATCCTTCCAAAAGAACCTTTCGAAAGAACCTTCCAAAACATCCTTTCAAAAGAACCTTCCAAAATAATCTTGCAAAAGAACCTTGCAAAATAATATTTCAACAGAATCTTCCAAAAGAACTTACCAAAGAACCTTCCGATAGAACCTTCCTAAAGAACCTTCCAAAAGAACCTTCTAAAATAACCTTTCAAAAGAACCTACCAAAAGAACCTTCCAAAATTACCTTCCAAAAAGAACCTTCCTAAAAAACCTTCCAAAAGATCCTTCCAAACGAGTTTTCCAAAATACTCTTCAAAAAGCTCCTTCCAAAAGACCTTTCCAAAGATCCTTCCTAAAGAACCTTCCAAAATAACCGTCTAAAATAACTTTTCAAAAGATCCTTCCAAAAAGACCATCCAGAACATCCTTCCTAAAGATCCTGTCAAAAGAACCTTCCGAAATAACCGTCTAAAATAACCTTTCAAAAAATCCTTCCAAAAGAACCATCCAAAAGAACCTTCCAAAACATCCTTCCAAAAGAGCTTTCCAAAAGAACCATCCAAAAGAGCCCTCCAAAAGAAGCTTCCAAAAGAACCTTCCAGAAGACCTTTTCAAAAGAACCTTC